ATGACTTCCAATCATAATTGCCAAGCACAATTATGGTCAGCTGTGATTCAAGGACTACTTGTACTTAGAAGAATGGGGCTCGCCTGCCAAATTGTGAAGTGAAGTAATAGCCATTTTCATCCAAAGTCCGTCATCATCCAGCCCCATAAGAACACAGAGAACCAATTCCACAACTGCTTAACAGCATTATTAGAATTGTAGAAAACCATGACATTTAATTAGTTTTTCTAAGAATTATTATATTAGTGTGTGCATGTATTTCTCTTTGGCAATACTGTCTAGCAATATGTCCAGAAGATATCCTGCATTTCCTGAATGAAACCGGAAGGTATAAATCAAGGATGTCAAACTCAAGGCCCCCAGGCCAGATACAACCCACAGGGTGTTTAGATCTGGCCCTCAGGGCCGCCCTAGAAACAGCGAAGGATTGGCCTGCGGTGCCTCTGCCAGCAAAATTGGGCTCCCGAGCTCTATTTTCAGCTGCGACAGCCTCCTGCAACCCTCTGCCAGTGAAAACAGAGCTTAGGAAGGCCCTCCTGAGCTCCGTTTTCACCAGCTTAGGGTTGCAGGAGACTATCGCAGCTGAAAATGGAACTTGAAAGTCTGCTTTCACCAGCAGAGTACTCAGGCCACCACAGGCATGCACAGCCCCCCCCCCCACAACATGAATGATGTCAAGCTGGCCACGTCCACCCTGGCCCACCACGGTCAAACACAACCCTGATGTGGCCCTCAAAGTTTGACACACCTGGTATAAATGAGTAACGAACTTCAGAAATATAATTGAAAGGGAGACAGTAAAACCTTCAAGTATTACTGTACATTTGGAAAAAGAAACCAAAGCATCTTGTCTAATACTACCCTCCTGTCCCCTATGATTTCTCCAAGAAAAACTACCCTGTCATAGTGGAGAATACATGTAGTTCAGAGTTGAGATGTTGGGTTCTTGATGCTTTCTGTGCTTCTCTTCCACCATGATGACATGCTGCTCATGTTACCTACCCTGGAAGAGAAGGCAGCTAGAGAACATGAAGAACCCATCAACCCTTAGCTTTCTTTGCACAGCCTGAAGGTGGGGGGGGAAAAGCCAGCATGTATGTAAGCGACAACGCATGTTGTCTGGGAGTTGAAGTTCACACATCTTCAAGTAGTCAAAGTTGAGAAACTCTGCTGTAGAGGCTTTTTAAATTTAAGGGAAAGCATAAATGCAGACTCACCAAAAATTATGGTTCTTTTATCTTGTTTCAATTAAAACTGCAAGTAATTTCTGGTCAGTGCTTTACTTCCCATACTTTTCAAACAACCAGAAAAAGACAAGAAAGATGTAGTAGAAGATGTGTGAAGGAAGTGTGTTAAGAACAATGTTTTTCAGACTTGAAGATGTGTAGACTTCACTTTCCAGAATTGGGGGCTGGGGAATTCTGGGGATTGAAGTCCACACATGGTAAAGTTGCCATGTTTGGAAAACGTTTCATTAAAACAAGGGTGGGCAACTGTGGCAAATTTACAGGTTCCACCAAAAAACCGCAGTAGACAAAAGCGCGCTCGACGAAAGCGCGTACATGACGTCATCATAGCGCGACGAAAACATCGCGCTGTGATCGATAAATGTAAAAATAAAGCGAAAACCTTACCCTAACCCCCCCAAACCTAACCCTTAACCTAAGCCTAAATCTAACCCTAAACCTAACCCTTAACCTAAG